TATATCATTGTGTAATACCCTCTTCTTGAGTGTGACTTGCTTCTGACAAGTGAATCAAAGTGATGGCATATCCCTTCTGAAATGTGGTTACAAAAGGCAATGCTCCTTTTCCTTGCTAGCATGCTCCAAGGAAAACCAATTACTAGGTTGTGCTGATTGTCCTCTGGAGACATTCATGTGGAAACTGCTCACCCTGGCTAACAGCAGGGCCTGAGGTGAGCCAACAGCCACGTGAGAGGGCTTGGAAGTGGACGGTCTGAAGCTCACCAACAGCCCTGTGAGTGGGTTTGGGAGCAGACTGCCCATTTGAGCTTTTAGTGTCTGCTGCCCTAAGCAGCACCTTGACAGCAATCTCTGAGAGATCTGAGCTAGCTGTGTCCTGCTATTAAGCCGCTGTGTTCCTCATCCACAGGAGCGATGACCTAATCAGTGTTGGCTGGTTGAAGCAGCTATGTTTTGAGGAACTGTTATGCGGCACTGGATCACAAGGCTCTCTCGGTCCCAGCTTTTATTTTTTTTGGGGGGGGATGGAGAGCCCTTGCCACATCTTTCTCGTATCTAGCTGATTATTGCTGTTGTTGTCATGCACCCTCCCTCGAGTAGGAATCGACTCATAGCTGACCCTCCACAAGGTTTTCAGAAGCAGTAATTGCATGAGAGGAGACTGCCCATCCTTTTCCCTCAGAGCAGCTGGTGGATTCAAACAGCGTGCCTTCGGGATTGCAATGCAGCTTCTTACCACTAAGGCACCAGAGCTCCCTGGTGCTCAGCTGTTGAACTTTCTGTCGGCGGCCAATCACTTAATCACTTAGTCACAACGCCATGAGGGTTCCTTACTGGTGAAGATGAAGTCAAAACAAAAAAGAAAATGAACTCACTGCAGTCAAGTTGATTCCACCACAGGTGGTGTAGAGAGTAACATGTTGGACGACCTACTCAAAGGTCAGCAATTCAAATCCATCTGCTACTTCACATGGAGAAATAAGGGCAGTCTCCTCCAGTAAAGATTTACAACTGTGGAGACAGCATGGAGGGTCACTGTGAGTCGGACTTGATTAAGTGTTGCTGCTGCTAGTTGTCATCAAGTACACTATGACTCAAAATGAGCCTGAGAACAGCAGATGGAAAGCTTGCCCTGTGCTGCATCATGCATGCTCTCTCTGTTAAACTTGAGCCCAGGTAGCAGTCATGGCACCAATTCATCTTGTTGAGGGCCTTCCTCCCTTTCACTCACCCTCCACCTTTCTCAGCATTATGTTCTTTTCTAAAGACTGGTTCCTCTTTAGAATATGCTCCAAGTAAATGAGATGAAGTTTCACCGTCCTTGCCTCTAAGGAGCACTCTGGCTGCATGTCCTTTAAGACAGATCTGTTTGTTCTTTTTCAAAGTCCATACCATAGCCCACACTCTTTGCCAACACCACAATTCAAATACACAGAGTCTTCTCTGGTCTTCTTTATTCATCATCCAGCTTTCAGATACACAGGAAGCAACTGAAAAGACCCCAGTTTGGGTTAGGCACACCTCGGTCTTTAAACTGATATCCTTGCTCTAGTTTAGCACTCAGAAAAGGTCCTTGACAGAAGATGTTTCCAATCTTTTATTTTGACTTCATGATGTATCCAAGTAAAATGTAATCACCAACAACGTTAAACTTTCCTCCATTTATCATGAGGTTGCCTATTGGCCCAATGGTAAAGGGTTTTGCTTTCTTGATGTTGAGGTGTAACCCATATTGAAGGCTGGTGTCCTTGATCTTCTGCAGCAAGTGCGTCAAGACCTCCTCACTTTCAGCAAGCAAGATTGTGCCACCTGCACAACAGAGGTTGTTGATGAGTCTTTCTCCAATCCCAATGGCACATTCCTCTTCATAGAATCCAGCATCTTGAAGGATTTGCTCAGCACACAGACTGAAGGAGAAAGGATATGACTTTGATACACATCTTTATTGATTTTAAACCATGAAGTATTCCCTTATTCTGTTTGAACAATTGCTTCTTGGTCTATGGATAGATTTTGCAGTAGTGCCATTAAGGCTCTGGGATTTGCATTATTGTCACTTGATTAGATAGAAATGTTTTTCTGTTTCGTTTTGAAGAGGACACAGTAGAAATCCTATTTTGGGTTTTCAATGTCCATGAAGCTGCTAATGTTTGTTCTCATTCCCAAGAAAGGTGCAACACAATGTGGAAATTTTCAAACACCATCATTAAAAGACTGTGTAAGATCATCCAAAAAGGGCTATAATAGTACATTTTCAGAGAAATGCCAGAAGTGCAAGGATTTTAGAAGAGGCTGTGGGATATCATTGTTGATGTCAGATGGATCCTGGCTGAAAGCAGAGAATACCAGAAGAATACCTATTTGTGTTTTATTGACTAGGCAAAAGCATTTGACTGTGTAGGTCATAACAAACTATAGCTAACCTCACAGAGAAAGGGAATTCCAGAATGTTTAAATTTGTTTATATGAAACCTATACAGAGACAAAGAAACTTGGTTTAAGTCAAGAAAGGCATGTATCAAGGCTGTATCCTCCCTCCATACCTGTTAGTCTGTATGCTGAACAAATCATTCAAGAAGCAGAATGAAGAATGTGGTACCAAATAGGAAGAACACGCATTACAACCTCACTTGCTGAAAGTGAGGTGGACTCAAAACACCTGTCACAGCAGATCAAAGACTACAATATGCAATATGGACTACAATCTCAACATCAAAAAAACAAAGATCCTCAGCACTGGGCCAACAGGCAACACTGTGGTAGATGGAGAAAAGATTGAAATTGTCAAAGATTTCATCTTGCTCAGATCTACAGTCGGTACCAGCAATGAAAAGATCAAAAGATACACTGCATTGGAAAAATTTGCTGCCGGGGACCTTTCCAAGGTACTGAAGAGCAATGATATCAGTCTAAAGACTAAACTGTGCCTATTTCAATCCACGGTCTTTTCAATCAATTGCTATGCATCCGAGAGCTGGACAACGAATAAGAACTAAAGATGAAAGATTGATACCTTTGAGTTCTGGTGTTGGACAAGAGTGCTGAGTGTCCCAGGGACTGCCAAAAGAACAAACACGTGTATCTTGGAGAAAACACAGTCATAGTATTGCTTAGAGAAAAGGATGGTGAAGCTTCATCTCATGTACTTTGGGCATGTTTTTAGAAGGGATTACTCCTTGGAAAGGAACATCATGTTTGGAAAGGTGGAGAGTCAGTGAAAGAGAGGAAGACCCTCAAAGATTGACACAGTGGCTGCAGCAATGAGATCAAGTATTTCAGAGATGACAAGGATGGCACAGGATTGGACAGGGCTCAGATCTGTTCACAGGGTGGTTCACAGAGCCATACAGCATTTAACAACCACCACCACTACCTTGTGGGCAGGGGATTCTGGTGGTTTAGTGGTAAGAAGTTATGTTCCCAACTCAAAGGCACATCATTTGAACAATCAGCTGCTCCACAGGAAAAAGGTTGGCAGTCACCTTCAGTGTGATTTACAGCCTTGAAAATCCACTGGAGCGTCAGATTTGAGTTGATTCCTACTCAATAGTACATAACAACAGCCCACCAATCTTTCCATTAGCAAGCAGTTCAACACTTTTCCCATTGGACTACCAGGACTCCTGGATAAAGGAAACCTAATGGGGCAGTTCTACTCTGTTCTACGAGGTTACGATTAATTGGACTGGACTCATGAACACAACAACAAAACAACAAAGAATATAAAAAAGCATGCTAATACTATGAAAAGACTGCATGTATTTTAATCTTCACTCTATCACATGTATTTTAGTCTTCTATCTCCTGTTCTATCAGGTCATTATGACTTGGAAAGGACTCACAAAACACAAGAGTAAAATAACAAATGTATTAAAAAAGTAATCTAATAGTGTGAAAATACTGCATATGTTTTAATTTTCTGCACTGCAATTCTAAAGACATGTGGTTTGAATCCACCAGCTGCTCCACAGAAGGATGTGTAGTCTCTTCCCGTACAATTGAGAACCCCCCCAAAAAGCCACTGGAGGGTCAGCTATGGGTCGGTTCCAACTTGATGGTATATAACAACAATAACATCAGTCGCATGTATTTTTATCTTCTATCAATCTTTTATAGATTGGCTCCAGCTCGATGGCTCACAACAGCAACAACAACATAAACCTAAAGCACCCAGGATGCTGTAGCTTTGATGCTTTTATGATAAAATTCAATACAATTGCACCATGTTGCAAAAATATCCATGATGAACCAGATTTACAATGACTTCTGTTATACTAGAAATTTATTTTGAGTTTATGAAGGGCTTTTTCTTCACATAATACTTCATTTGACAAAAGTGTATGCTTTCAGTTTTTTATCAGCTAACAACTAAAAAGTCACACAGAATATACCAGAGAACAAGGGTAATGGAATTTTCCTTAGCCACCTTCTCTAAGAATTCAAAAAGAGAGAAATAATACCCTTTGAAGGGTGGGTGCTCAAAGTAGGAGGTGAAAAGAATGCTGACACTCTCAGGAATACACAGACTAAAACTCTACATTAGAAAGCACCACGAATACCTTTTGCCTTCAAATAAAACTTCAGAAACACAAAGAGCGGTGAGAAAGTAGGTGGGAACAGACTAAGGAAAAGGCATACACCAGTATGCTAGCTTTTACTCTTTGATATTCACAAAACAGAGTAAAGTGAGCAGCAGTAGACAATCAAAAAGTAAATTCTTAACTGTTAGGACAGATAATGGTTTTTATCACTTCAACTCATTTAATCCTAACTGATCTCATTGCCTCTAGTTTTTACCATTATAATCTATCATTCACGCTGGCCGTTATTAAAATTATTTATCCATCCATCCATCCATCTATCCATCCATCCAGTATTTCCTGAGTTTACCAAATCCTACAAAAAAATTAACTCCCTTGCTTAAAACTGCTGTAGTAAGTTTTTCTTTTGAAATATTATATAACTTAATGATAACATATTAACTATGTAGGTAGCTCTGGTGGCCTAGTAGCAAGAAGCTATAGCCCAAAAGCACACAATTCAAATCCACAGCTTCTCTGTGAGATAAAAATAGACAATCTCCTCCTGTGTAAATTACAGTCTCTGAAAACCCACCGGAGGGTCAGTTATGAATCAGTTCTGACTCAATGGCACACAACAAGAAGAACAGGTTATGTAAAATATTCTATTGCCCTGAACAAGTGGTTAACACAATTTCGTCCAACAAGTTGCTGAATTAGTCATCATTAGCTGGCCTCCATACTGTAACACCATCAAAGGGAGATGTGGTAAGTGGCCTAGTCGTAAAGAGTTGTGTGGCCATCCCAAAGGCAGGCAGCGCACAGCCACCAGCTTCTCCATGAGAGAAAGATGGGCAATCTCCAGTCTCTGAAAACCCAATGGAGGGTCAGCTGGGAGTCAGTTCTGACTCGACAGCACATAACAGCAATATGGTAACAATCTCATCAAGGTAATTTTCTGACTTCTTTTCCAGTATCACCTGTGAGGCCTTTTGTGGTTATTTTCTGCCATCAGGTCTAACATCTGACTCACAGTTGACTTTCTAGTAGGTTTTCAGACTATAAACCACACAGAAGGAGATAATTCATCTTTTTCCCCACGGAACTGCTCATGAATTTTAGCTGCCTGCCTTTCGGTTGGCAGCAGAAGTCCTTCTCCACTAAGTCACCAGGACTCCCTAACAGATATTTTCAGTCATGCAAAGTAGGGGAAAAAAAGTTGTCTCCTTCAGTTGATTTTATTAGTAGCTTGATTTTATTAATAACTTATCCATTTTTCCCAAAGCAATTCCTCATTTTGTAAGGAACCATCTAAACTCTCAAACTATTTTAACTCAAGAAATAGTGTCGTGATCTACAACTCCAAAAATAGATCTTGAATAATCTTGGCCTATCAAGGTCATCCTTGCTTCTATGGATTGGGTTAAGAGAGAGCACGTGATTAAATTCTGATGATGTGATAGAACAGTAAGATGCAAAGGGGTGTCTGAGTCACAAGATACAGTCACTTCTACTTCAAGGGTCCTCTAATTGGAGATTATATATACATGATATCTATTACCTATCTGGGAGCACTGGTGGCCCAGGGGCAAGAAGCTGCATGGCAATCCTGAAGGCATGCGGTTTCAATCCACCAGCTGCTCCATGGGAGAAGGATGGGCAATCTACTCCTGTGCAATTAACTGCCTCTGAAAACCTGCCAGAGGGTCAGCTATGGGTCGGTTCCAACTCGAAAGTACTCAGCAACAACAACAACGTTACCTATCCATATCTATGATGTATATAACGTATTTACATATATACACATGTACATACAACTATTCTTCACTTCTTATCTTATTCTCTGACACTTCATTTATGACGATAGCAAAATATCTATTATCCAATTACTTTGTATAGTAACTACATTATGTCTAACAGTACCAAATGCTGAGGTGTGAAGTGAGAGCTCTAGTGGCGCAATATGTAAGGACAGTGCTTGCTAACCCAAATCCACTTGCTGCTTCTCACGAGAAAAATGAGCAATCTCCTCCTTGTAATTTACAGCTTCAGAAACTTGATGGAGGGTCAGCTATGAGTGGGTTTCAACTCAAGAGCAATCAGTGAGTGAATAAGTAAGCAAGGATTAACAAGAGAAAGGAATAAAACAGAAAGATAGAAGATGAAAAAGGATATATGTTAGGATGAAGATTCTAAGATAGTAAGAAATCAACCAATAGTGTCTTAAGTTGATGAATCAAGAGGCATGCATAGATATACTATTTAGAAATATGGAGGAAATAGAGAGAAGAGTTAAAGTAGTTGCTCTGGGGTAAGAAGGGGAAGGACTGTGGAGTGAAGGAAAGGAAGATGTGGACTGTTATTAGCATAAGCCTTTTAGCATCTTTTGTTTTCAAAATTATGTACAGGGATAAAAATTTAAATCAATACAATAAAATGCCAGAAGACTAAAGAGAAAGATATAATGCTTTGTGTTAGTAGCTCCTATCTAATGTCTGGTAGCACTAATGCCTCCTATTCCCCGTTGGTGAACTCTTCTCTGTTTTTCCTACTAGATTTTAGTTTATGAGCCTTCTCCTGCCACTTTGGATGCAGACTAGTGGACACAGAACTGCTTCCACAAGAGAATTTATGATGTGTTTTTGAGACTGCATGGTGTTGAAAGGCAGGAATGGCCTAACATTGAATTTATCTGAGGTCCAGTGCTTTGTTTTATTTGGGCCACCTGCCTGATCTCTTTTTTATATCCGTCCTTATTACTTTTCCAAAATAAAAGGTGGACGATGGAGAGTGTTGGAGAATGGATTTTCCATTGGAGCTCACCATGTGTACAAACTCACTGACTCATGACTAGTAGCTCATAAAAATGACCACTGAATAAGAAACAAAAGACTTCAACCTGCTAAGGCCTTCTAGGTATTGAACTTACATCCATTGGCTGATGGTACTATTTTTCAAGAAAAACATTTATGTGCTATCTACGTGAGTGCTAACTGGTGACTTAGTGGTAAGGAATTGTGCTGTCAACCTAAAGGTAAAAGGTTCGAATCCACCAGGTGCTTCATGAGAGAAAGGGGACAATATTCTTCTGTGCCATTTACTGCCTCTGAAAATCCACTGGAGGGTAAGCTCTGGGTCGATTCTGACTCAACAGTGCACAACAGTAACAGTAGTAAATGGACAGATCAGGAAAAATTATCATCCAAATCATAGACCACTTTACCCAAGATTGCTTTCTTGAGAAATTTAGATAAAACACATATATTGTCCAGTATTGCATATGGCCTTTGCCACTGTTGTATGCTATGGATTTGATATAAGAATATTTCACACAGCATCCCTGCATGACAGAGGAGAATTGCTCTCACAGGCCTTCCTAGGCTATAATCGTTATCAGACCAGATTGTTAGGGTTTTTTCCCTCAGAGTAGCTTCTTGTTACTGTTTACAGTCAAGTAAGAACCAGCTCATAGCTGACCCTCTCTGCTGGGTTTTCAGAGGCAGTTAATCGTATGAGAGGAGACTGTCTATCTTTCTTCCAAGGGCTAGCTGGTGAATTCAAACCAGCTCCAAGGAGATTGCAGCGCAGCTTCATACCACTAGGCCACCAGCGCTTCCTTGGGCTCAAATCATCAACCTTCCAGCTGACAACTGAGTACCAAGGCTCCTGTATGACCTTCAACCATAGGTAAATTAATGATTGCTGATATTTTAGAAAATATATTTGGCATTTTAAGATAATAATAATAATAATAAAAAATAATAATTTGACAGGGCATCTTGCCTGAAATGTACAAGAATGTAAGACACCAGGGAAAAAACAGAGGCAAATTTACCATTCCAAATACATAAAGAAAACAGAGGAGGACTCGGAAGGCCAAGGGTTGATGCAAATTAGCTCTTGACTCTAAGTTTAGAGAAAACGAATCTTAAAAAAAAAAAAAAAGCATTCATAACTGAAATTTACAGCTTTTATTAAAATAAACTAATTTCATGCACCTATAAGCTTATCAAACATGAAAACCTACAGCACTGTAACTGTAGGAGTGTGGAAGGAATCATTTCATACCTGCATCCTGAGTGCTTTCATCTTCATTGACCAAGAATCCCATGTGATAATTTCCCACCTGCTCTGAGTAACTATTTTCCAGTTCACAAACAGGTGGATAATGCGTGACAAACAGGGTTAAGGATTTCACCTAAAGCAAGAAAATGTACAAGAAATGTGATTTTTAACACTTTATCTTAATTACTTTCCCCCAACAATTTCTTTGGGGGGGAAAAATTCATTAAAGTTCCAAGAGTTGTTGTTGCTAAGTGCCATCAAGTAGCCTACGATCTCTAACACTTTATTTAGAAAAAAAACGTTTTTAATATTCTGTCATATTCTCCCTTCTTTCCACCCCTACTAACACACAAGTTTCCTCTTGACTCATCTGAAAACTAGTTGCAAACATCATGATAGTTAGTCTCTGAATTCTTAAGCTTAAATGTTCTAAGAAAAGTGTTCTCCTACCTCTCCAGAATAAAATTATGCTAAAAAAATTCACTTATTACTATTCTAACACATATCATCTGGCTCTGACATTATATTACTATTATCCAATACTCAGTCTATATTCAAATGTCCTCAACTGTTCCAATAATATTCTTTATAACGTATATTTTTAAAAAATCAAGGATCATGTAGTACACTTAGTCACATCTTTTTTTTGTTTGTAGTAATACGGAAAAGTTCCACTATCTTCTCTTTTTTGCCTTTCTTGGCATGAACTTCTGGAGGACATATTCAGAAGAGTTGTTTTGTATAATGTTCCTCAGTTCATATTATTTCGGATTATCTCATTATAATTAGATTCAGATTAAGCATTTTTCCTGGTGCATTACACATATATGTAGGTAATATATCCTTTTCAGTGTATTATATCAGGAGGCATGCCAATTTGACCCAGTACTAGTGATACACTAAGCTTAATAATTGGGCTTACATGGTCACTACATGGGTACCTTTCCTCTTTGTAATGAAGAAACCACTGGTAAGATAACACTATTATACAGAGGTACGGACTGGGTGGCATCATTGTTAGCCTGCTCAACGGTGGGCTGTTCAATCCACCAGAAGCTGCCTCCACAGATCAGGGGATCTGCTCCTGAAAAACCGTCACTGAAAAGTACCCGGAGGATAGCTGTACCCTGACATAACTGGGGTTGCAGGAAATTGGAATCAACTTAATGGCAACCTTAAAAAAAATAATTATATAGTAGGAAAAATGAAATCAAACTGAAAGATGGTTAGTTTGACATTCTCATAATTTATTCCTCAAGTTCCTAAATGAATGTTTAAAACGTGTTTTGGGGGTCAGGATAACTACTGAGATTTCCCTGACAAGGAGCTTCTATAATGAATAGAGACAAAGTCAATGAGTGACAGCTTTTTGCAAATGAATAGGAATTTCTTTTTCAAGGAAAATGTGTATCGTTTAAAGCAGAGAACATGTCTCATTAAGGTATATAATGAAATAAATGTTTATGTAAACTGGACTCAGGACTATACAAGTTTACTGAAAAAGGAATTGTATTTTTGTGTTCTGGAAAAGAAAATATTCTTTTTTTAAAAAAAAATCTGTATTGGCTATGTAAAAAAGAGGAGAAAGGAGGCAGGCTGGGGAATGAAGAGACAGAAAAAATACAAAAAACAGAGTAGTAAAATGAGGATGATAAAAACAAAAAAGGCCAAAATAGCACAAGACTTAGGGACAGGGACTTAAGATGGAGAGAAAGAAAGGGAACATAAAAATTCACAAGGAGGGATTAAATAAGAGGGGAGCATTTGAAGGAGATGTAGAGATGGAAAAGTCTAATACAAAAAACAAAATCACAATGAAATGTTTAAACATACATTCTGAGAAAAGGCATTTACTTCATCGAGTTCCCAAGGCTTAAATCTTTACCACAGGAAACAACTCATCTTTCTTCCTTGAGGTAGATTCAAATCACCAACCTTTGAGTTGGTAAAACAAGGCACAGGTACCAAAAATTGATATAACTCTAACAGAAACAAGGTCTGTGCTCAAAAGGCCCCCTGTTGAGTTCTTTTAGGATACTGCTCCACACAGTCAAAATGACATTATCTCTTTTTTGAATGCACTGTTAAGTAGTTTACACTTGTTTTTGATTTAAAGCCTGCCAAGGATAATTAGAGTTTTGGGTGAACTTATTACCATGTTGATCTTTCTCTTGCAGACAAGGTTTGCTCCACTTCAGCAAAATAACAAAAATTATATGAAGAGGAATGGCATCAAGAGGGAGGAAGACTAATCAATAACCTGCAATACTGCACAACCTTGCTAGCTTAAAGGGGGAAGACTTGACTTGCAAACATTATTCAGAACCAATCTCTCTGAGCTCAGTGTATAGTGTAACAATCAAGCACAGGGACAGAATAGATTATAATCATTAAAAATAATTTTAAATATTTGGATAATAAATAGCCCTGATGCTGTAGTGTATCACACATTGAGCTGCTAACTGAAAGGTCTGCAGTTCAAACCCACCAGCCTCTTCAAGGGACGAAGATGAACAGTCTTTCTTTGTAAAGAAGTACAGCCTCGAAAGTCCAATAGAGGACGATCATGAGTCAGAATCTACTAGGCAGTAGTGGGTTTGGTTTTGGATATCCAGGTCTAGAAAACTATTGGTGTAGAATGAACCATCCGGGTAGAAAAAGGTATGCAAGGTACTTACATCTCTAATAAAATGCTCAAGTGTAGCATAAGCAATGGCAATTCCATCATGGGTGCTCGTCCCTCTTCCTAATTCATCTAAGATGACCAAGGACTGTGAGGTTGCTTTTCTTATTATTTCTGCTGTGTCTGTCAGTTCTTCCATAAATGTACTCCGTCCTTTGTATATATTGTCTGCAGCTCCCATCCTACAAATAAATGGTAATAACTTGATTTTTCTACAGAAGTTCCTTATTAGAAAGTAAAACATCATTTAATAAGCCATAAATATTAAAAATCATGAAGTCTATATATTCTGAGTCAATAACAACTGAAATGATATTAAACAGAAGAAAGCATACACTTTCAGTACAGCAACTAACGTCAACCAGCACACTGTAGACAACCTGAGATAATAGACAGTTTCTAAGAAGCAGGAAAAGCTTGAATCCTGCCTGTAGTTTGACCAGGGAGCTCTGCTGGCATACTCACGAGCGTGTTATACTGTTGATCGAAAAGCCTCCAAAGTGGTTCAAATCCACCTGTAGCTCTACAGGAGAAAGATGATCAAGCCCCTCTTGTGCAATTTGCAGCCTCAGAAACTCAATGGACGGTCAGCTACCAGTTCGTTAAAGCTCAATGACACTGAGACAAAGTCCTTTTTGCCCATTCCAAACCAAACTACTGCTATTTACTGAGTAAAACATTAATTGCTTAAAATATATAAATTGAAGGTTTTCCAGGGTTTTCTTATGAAAATCACATTGACATTGCAGCACTATATGTAAAATCCAGTACTTCCAAAGAGAGCTGCCTGAAGTGCAGGATGGATTTAGAAGAGGCTGTGGTACTAGGATATTATAGCTAATGTCAGATGGATCTTGGCTGAAAGCAGAGAGTACCAGAAGAATGTCTGTGTTTCATTGACTATGCAAAGGCATTTGACTGTGTTGATCACAACAAACTGTGGCTGACTCTGAGAAGAATGGGAATCCCAGAACATTTGATTGTGATTATGCGAAACTTATAGTTGAACCAGGAGCCAGTCATAGGAACAGAGCAAGGAAACACTACATGGTTCAAAATTGGAAAGGGTGTGCATCAAGGATGTGTCTATCTCTGTATCTTTTCAATCTATATGTAGAAAAGATCATCCAGAAGGATGGTCTCTATGAAGAAAAATGTGGCATCAGGATTGGAGGTAGGCTCATCAACAATTGCATTATGTAGATGACAGAACCCTGCTTGCTGAAACTGAGGAGGACCTGAAGCGTTTGCTGCAGAAGGTCAAGGACTGAAGCTTTTAATATGGATTGAAGCTCAACATCAAGAAAACAAAGATCTCACCACTGGGCTGACTGGCAGCATCATGATAGCTGGTGAAGAGATTGAGATTGTTGACAGCCTCAGTTTGCTTGGCTCTACAATCAACACTTTTGGTACCAGCAGCCAGGAAATTAAAAGACTAATTGCACTGGGAAAGTCTACTGTCAGAGACCTCTCCAAGGTACTGAGGAACAATGATGTCAGTCTGGAGACTAAGGTGCGCCTGATACAGGCCATGGTCTTTGCCATTACTTGCTATGCATCAGAGAGCTGGACAATGACTAGGGATGATAGAAGGAGAGTTGATGCATTTAAGCTTTGGTGCTGGAGAAGAGTACTGAATATAACATGGATTGCTAGGAGAACAAACAAGTATATCCTGGAGAGGGTGAAGCCAGGCTGCTCCTTGGAGGCAAGGATTCTGAAGCTCCATCTGACATACTTTGGACATGTTGTAAGTCGGGATCAGTCTTTGGAGAGGGATGTCATGCTTGGGAGGGTGGAGGAACAGCGCAGAAGAGGAAGACCCTCGATGAGATGGAGTGATTCTGTCACTGGGGTAATGGAAATAGGCGTGTCAGAGACAATAAGGTTGGCAAGAGATAGAGCAGGGTTTAGGGCTGTTGTACATAGGGTCACTATGAGACGCAAGCAACTCGATGTCACTTAACAACAACATATAGTAGTTTTAATCATGACTAGAATTACAGATGGAGCACCTTGGTGGCCTAGTGGCAAGAAGCTAGATGTTTAATGGCCTCAGACAGCAGCTAATGCAGGTTCCCAAAGCAGGTTTTTTATTAAACACAAGTTTCAATAGATGTCAAGAAATGGGCCCCAAAGTTTTAAGTTCTGGTGGCCTAGTGGTAGGAAGCCATGCTGAAATCCCAAAATCACACAGCTCAAATCCACCAGCTGATATGCAGCAATGAAGCAAGAAGATGATTACACTCCTGTATCTCTAAAGCTGAGTTCTTTAGCATGGTCATATCTGATTTCTGAGCATGACTCACCCTGTTCCCGAGAGATTTCAGAACCGACATGAAGGAGAAACATCTGATAGTGAAAATATTCTGGTAAGGCAAATGTTTTGTGATCTTTAATTATCAAGAATTAATCCTTAATTCTTTTAAAGTAAGAATTGGATACTATTTGAAAGTAAAAAAAAAAGTTTAAATACTACATTTAAGAATATCCTAGATACAGAAGGGCAATATTATGCTCTTTTTTGGGCATTTCAGGAATCACAGGATGATCTGGGGAAGATATTTTTAGGTAAACAGGAAGATATTTTGGGAGAATAAACACATACCCATATGAAACAGCAAACAAAAAGTGTAAGATTTTGAATCAGATAAATCAACAAAACATGGTAGTTTATTAACTACCAGGGAGGGAAAAACACACACACAAATCTATTCTTGGCTGTTTAATATCAGAAAAGGTATGCATCAGGGTTACCACTTATTTTTTATTTAATCTCTGTGCTGAGCAAATAATTTAAGAAGATG